TTCCCTCCCTCCCTCCCTCCCTCCTTCCTTCCTTCCTTCCTTCCTTTAATTTATTTGAGAGAGAGAGAGAGTGCATGATGGGGGGGAGAGGCAGGGGGACAAGCAGGCTCCCCGCTGAGCAGGGAACCAGATGTGGGACTCGATCCCAGGACCCCGAGATCAAGACTGACTGAGCCACCCAGGTGCCCCCTTGCCCTGTTTCTTTTACTTTCCTACTGATATTGGTCCAGGTCACTATGGGGCTTCCCTTTGCCCAGTTGATCTATTAACACCTTTGTCTGTCTTCATGTAAGGCTGTTATACATGTGCAGCTCAATAGAGTCTATTCTTCTGCTTCTGGAATCCTCTCCTGCTAGGACACTAACACAGTGGCAACTCCTCCACCATCCAACGCCACCTGGATTGGACGGTCTGTCTACTTATTCTTTTTTTTTAATTTTATTTTATTATGTTATGTTAATCACCATACATTACATCATTAGTTTTTGATGTAGTGTTCCATGATTCATTGTTTGTGTATAACACCCAGTGCTACTTAACTGAAAAAAATCAGATAACATCATTATCGAAGAAAACTATTTTAAAATCACCCTCCACTCCCAAATCCCAAGAAAATTCCTTCAATTTTTGGTTGTAAACTTTTACATTTCGTAGAGATAGAATCATGGCACACCTGAAATTTTAAACTTTTGTGCCCCATCTCACGATGAACATTGCACCTTCCAACATAATGACCACTTTAATGGTCACTTTTAATTCTTAACTTCTCACTGTTAGTGTACCATGTTAATAAAATATCCCCCGAATTCAGGGAAGTTGCTATTTCTGATGTTTTGTTATTGTAGATGATGAAGCAGTTCATCTGTTGACCTGTTAAGTTTGTTGTTCTTGGCAGGGGCGCCTGGGTGGCTCAGTCAGTTGGGCATCTGCCTTCAGCTCAGGTCATGATCCCAGGGTCCTGGGACTGAGTCCCGCATCGGGCTCCCTGCTCAGCGGTGAGTCTGCTTGTCCCTCTCCCTCTGCCCCTCTCCCCTGCTCCTGCTCGCACTCTCTCTTGCTCTCTCTCAAATAAATCTTAAAAAAAAAAAAAAGTGTTCTTGGGATTTCCTTTTTCTCTCCTAAATTCAGAAATGAAGACGGAAAGAATAAGTAGGGTATTTACCCTCCCCTAGAGTCTCTACCCTAAGTTCTCTTGTTTTGGCTAATGCATTTTAAAGAGTAATGGAACCTCTAGAAATGTCAGGTACCCAGAGACCCTAACAAAATCTATGGCCAGATCAACAGATGACTTCATCATGCCTTTGGATAAGAACATTGGCATTTTTCTTTTCATTCTCTCTCTCTCTCTCTCTCTCTCTCTCTCTCTCTCTCTTTTTTTTTTTTGGTCCTTTGAAAGCCAGTTTTGTTTTTTTTTTAAGATTTTATTTTTAAGTAATTTTTATACCCAATGTGGACTCGACCTTAAAACCCTGAGATCAAGAGTCACATATTCTACTGACTGAACGCACCATGCACTCCTGAATACCAGTTTTTGTTAGAGGTCACTGTTTGGGTCCCCGCATTTTTCCAGAATAGCCACGGTGATAGGAACAGTGAGGACTGGATCAAGTCCTGCAAACCTTTTACATAAAAATGCCAATACGCATGAGTGACAGTGAATTGGCTTGGCCACAGCCACTTCTTATCATACTCCATACTGACCTTTTGGACACGAAGTGCACAGGGTCGCAGATTCGTTGCAGGTTTTACAAGAAGGATGACAAGGCTGGTGTCCTCTCAAAATGTCTGTGTAGACAGAAACCGGAAGTCAGTGTCCTTTGAACAGGGTCATAGTATTACAGCGTTGGAAAGGATCTCATGGGTAATCTCATCTTCCTTCCTGCCCAGAATAGAATCCCTTCAATTTTGCATTGGCTAAACCTCCACGGTGGGCTTTATTCATTTATTCGTGTATTTCACTTATTCATTTATTTTTTCTCTTCCTTCCAATTGGTTATCATGGTTTGCAAACTTCCAGTGACAGGATAGTCTTTAATGCAACGGGGCTGTTTGAACTAACAGGTGTTCCTTCTTTCATATATTAAAAATCTGTGAGCGTGTGTGCTTATGTGCATGCATGCATTAAAGAGTTTTCTAGTTAAAGGTCATTACTTCTTTCCCCAAGATTCTTAAATGACCATTTCTCTTCACTCCAAGATGATAACAGAATTCATTGTGTCTTTTATGGAGTAACTTTTTCTTTTCCTTCCTTCCTCTCTTTCCTTTTTTTTTTTTTTTTTTTTGTTCTTTGGAACCAGCTTTCAGAATCCGTCAATGTTTGGGTTTCTGTATTCTTCAGAGTAATCACTGTGGAATGCAAACCTAAATTTATCTCCTCGCAAATCATCATTAAACATTCACCTAAGGGAGCCACCTGTGGGCTTTCTGGTTGGTCAGGTGATAGGCAGGCCATCCCAGGTCAATACACCCTTCCCCTGGGAAACACTTGAGGTGTTCCTCTCTTCCTTTCCCCCCAAGAGCATTCCTTTGGTGACCAGGCTTTTCCAGGGAGTCAGGAAGTCCATGGGACAATTTCAAAGACCTACAGAATAGCCTTGGTGACATCCCTCAATGAGTCCACGAGATCTTGATTGAATCTCAGGAGCTGCTTGGGAATCGGCATAAGTCTCATAGGAGAGAATTAGAAAAAGAAGATCTAGCTCAGGATGTGTGATAGGAATGATCGAGACCCTCAGTTGACTGTTATGGTTGGCATCTTATGATCACCCTCCCTCTCTTGCTTCCCGCTCCTTCCCGCTCTTCCTGAGAGTCAGTCTGACAAAGTGGGTTCTGTAGGCACACCTGCTGTCAGAGCCCAGCTGTGCCACTTACGGGAGGGTAACCATGGATACGGTAATTAAACTCCGAGAGTCCTATTTTCCCTGTCTCTGGAATGAGAGCAAACGATCGTTCCCTTATAGAACTGTCATGGAGGCTAAATGGAACAGTGTGTGTAATGAGCACACACAGCGGCTCAGTAAATGCTAGACCTTCTGCTTCTCTCCTCCCGGTTTCCTCCTTGGTTACCATACTTCCCCATTTCCCAACCTTAGGCTTTAGTTCTCTCTCTCTTCCCTCTGTTCCATACCTGGAGTGGCACTGGGAGGGTTTGCTTGGTTTCTCTGAAGGCGCTATGGTTAATAAGCTGCTGAGGTTCGCTACAGAGGAAACTAGACTCAGAGGTAGGTAGGTAGACAGACAGACTGGTGTGGAGGTAGCTATAGATATAGATGTATAGACATAAATGATCATCCTGCCATGCTAAGTGGCCATTCTCTTCCTAGTCTGGAGAGAGAAATATGCCTTGCTTTTCCAGGAGACTGACTCACTCCTGTACTCTCCCTTGGGGGAGCTGTTAAGAGCTCAATTAGCCTTGTGTGGAGCACTGTCAGGCACAGGATTCTCACAAAAGACAACAGGAAGCTCCACAGGACCAAGTGTTTCCCCGAAGGCCTTTTTAAACTGACAGGTCTCACTTAACCCAAACGAGACGGGGGCAGAGATGAGCAACAATTCGGTTGCCAACATCAGTCCTCACTAATCACCTGGGAGAGGCAGATCAAAACCGCAATGTGAGAGCACCTCACACCTGTTAGAAGGGCTAAGATCAAGAAGAGACAGCACGTGTCGGTGAGGCTGTGGAGAAAAGGGAACCCTTGTGCACCGCTGGTGGGGCCGTAAATGGGCACAGCCACTGTGGCAAACAGTATGGAGGGGCCTCACAAGATTAAAAACGAACTACCCTATGATCCAGCAATTCCACTCTGTGTATGTAACTGAAGGAAATGAAATCACTGCCTTGAAGAGATACCTGTCCTCACATGTTCATTGCAGCATTCTTTATAAGAGCCAAGACATGGAAACCACCTCAGTGTCCATCGATGGATGAATGGATCAAGAAGATGTGCCATATGTATATAAAGGAACACTATTCGGCCATAAAAAAGGAGGAAATTTTGCCGTTTGCAACAAAGGGATAAATCATGAGCATTAGGCTAAGTGAAGTATGTCAGAGAGAGAAAGACAAATACCAGATGATCTCAGTTATATGTGGAACCTACAAGGAAACCAAAGACTTAGAGTAGATTGGTGGTTGCCAGGTGTCGGGGTCGGGGTGGGGAATGGGTGAAAGTGGACCAAAAGGTACAAACGTCCAGTTATAAGATGAATAAGTGCTGAGGATGTAACATCCAGCATGGTGTCAGTAGCTAATACTCTATTGTGTACGTGAAGGTTGCTAAGAGTAGCTCTTAAAAGTTCTCATCGCACACACACACACATACACACACACACACACACAAAAGGTAACTATGGGGGCGGTGGGTGTGTTAACCTCATGGTGGTAATCATTTTGTAATATATATGTATATCAAATCATCACATTATGCTGGTTAAGCCTGACAATGTTATATGTCAATTGTATTTCAATGGAACTGAAAAAAAGATACTTAATGGCTGAATGCAGTTCTTAAAAAATAATGGCGAAATAATATTTATCAGAAACACCTTGACCATCTTTAATATTATATGTCTAGGCCAGGGGTTGAATGTTTTTCCCCTCAGGGTTTGAATTTTTTATTTTATTTTTTTTTTTAATTTTATTTATTTATTTGAGACCGAGAGAGAGAGGGATGCCTGGGTGGCTCAGTCAGTTGGACGTCTGCCTTCGGCTCAGGTCATGATCCCGGGGTCCTGGGATCGAGCCCCGCATCGGGCTCCCTGCTCCGCGGGGAGCCTGCTTCTCCCTCTGCCTGGCGCTCCCTCTGGTTGTGCTCTCTTTCTCTCTGACAAATAAACACAGTCTTGAGAGAGAGAGAGAGAGAGAGAGCTGGAGCGAGCGAGAGCACACGAGTGGAGGGGAGGGGTGGAGAGAGAGGGAGAAGCAGACTCAGCACCGATATGGGAGCTGGAACTGGGGCTCGATCCCAGGATGGGATCGTGACCTGAGCAGAAGGCAAACACTTAACCGACTGAGCCACCACTCAGGCACCCCGATTTTATCATTTTTATACTAAAACTTTTTATTTAGAAAGACATGAGCTTTAATGGATTTTCTCACATTTTTAAAAATATAATGTATATATCTACCTGGGGATTTATAATTACGTGTATCCCGTTCTGGCAGTTTGACATTTCACTGGGATACCCCGGATATAAAATTCTGTAATGTCAGCATATTTCCACTAGAGGGTGCTCCGTACACACAGTTAACGGCATTTAAGTGTGGGCAAGGGATTGTGGTTCCCCGCCACAGCTTTTTATCATAAAAGATTAGTGACTTAATCACAAGTAAATTTTGACTTTGATCATAGTTTCTCTCTTTTTTTTCCACTCCAGAAATTCTGGACTGGACAAGACCTCAAAGAAAAACAAAATCACCTTGACCAAGAAAATGTAGAGTCAGTCCTTTAGAAATGACTATAGCTAAGCCATATAAAACGGGAGTTTTATTTAAAAAATTTTTTTAAAATAAGCAATACTCACACAGTTAAAAAAAACAACAAAACTGAAGAAAGGGAATATATCATAAAGTATCTCTCCATCCTTTTTATATAAACTGTATCTATTCACACTGTTTATCACATCGCTTTTTTGTTTTTTGGTAATGAATTTTGGGGCTCATTCTCTATCGGCGCATAAAGAGCCCCCTCTTGTTTATGACTCCACAGCATTCCATTGCATGGATGTATCATACTTCATTTTTCTAACTGGTAACTGTTGGTGACCACTTCGGGGTTTTTTGTTGTTTTTTTTTTTTCCAATCTCTGCTATTTCAAATACTACTACAGCGACTGGGAAGGCCAAAGGTGCTTTTCCAGCCTATTACAGATCTGCAAGGACAGAGGCTTTTCTTGGTAGCCTCTCCCAGATATAAACACTCAGCACATCAGGAACACCCTTAAATGTTCCAGAAAGCTCCACTGCTGAATTTCCTCCCGGTCTTTGGCCTTTGAGCACCTACGTTGTGGTCACCACCTCCTTCTGTTTTTACTTGGGCACCCCCATTTGCTCCTTGTAGCCCAACTTCTTTGGGTTGGTTTCTACATCACAGAGGCTTTTGATTCAGTGTGAAGGTCTTCTCCCTATTTCCCTGTTACCTCTTTTGATTCGAAACTTCCGCCGTCGCTTCTGTGGCAGGCTCCTCACCAAAGATGGGCTTGCAGTGGGCACAGGCTCTTTTTTATTAGAAAAGAAAAATAAACTGTTTTATTTTTTTAATGCAAGAAAGATGAACAAGGTCAGTTTTGCCTATCACCTTACCACCCAGAAATGCCTGTGAGGTAGACGTCAGCACGTAGATTTCCCATCTTCATGCTGAATGTGTGAGCATAATCATGTATGTGTATTTAATCATTTATGTCTTCTGCGTATATAATACCGACCCTACTTTTTTTTTAATGACCTTATTTATTTATTTGACAGAGAGAGCACAAGCAGTGGGTGGGGAGCGGCAGGCAGGGGCAGAGGGAAAAGCAGACTCCCCACCAAGCAGAGAGCTAGATGTGGGGCTCGATCCCAGGACCCTGGGATCATGACCTGAGCCGAAGGCAGACGCTTAACCGACTTAGCCACCCAGGCGCCCCTTCATTTGATATTATAAATTTTATAGGCATATTTTCTTGCTATTAAAATTCTTAGTACACTTTTTAATGGATTATGTATTTGCATGAACCATAATTCGCTTAATTTTTTTCTTTTGTTACACTTTTAGATTGCTCTTTTTTTTTTGGTTATTATAAGTAAAGCTGCCATTGACATCTTTATACACAGTATTGGCTAAGTCAGGACTCTGCTTGGCTCCTAGGCATCCCAGCTGACCACTATTTGGTGCCTTTCTGGGACTATTCTTCCCCAACCTAGGGCCCCCAAAATTACTTGCTTTTGACAGGGAAGACTGTTTTGAAAGTGAACTAGTGTTTCCTGTGTTAAGACTGGGTCAGATTAAAGGGCAAGGGAGTAGTTTAACTTTTCTTGTGTCCTCTTCTGTCCTGGGAGCTTTATGTGGGCTCTCCCATTTACTTCTCAGAATGACCTTGGCTGAAGCAGTTCCATGTTCTTATTTTATGGATGAGGGAACTAAGATTCAGACAGGATGAATAACTTGTTCAAGGTCACATGGCTAGTAAAGGACAGAGCCAGGATTTGAACCCTCGTATGCTTACCTCTAAAGCCTACATCCACTAGAGAGACTTTTTAGTAATTAATTTGGATTTTAAAATAGTTTGGTTGAGGTCAAAGCAGCGGTGTACCAGTAAAATGGCTTTTGGAACACACAACAAAAACCTTAAATTGTAGTGTTTGCTGATTTCCGTGGTGTAAATACTCCCATCGTAGTTGATTTCAAGCTGCCAGTGGTTTAATGATCCCCTATTGAAATTCCTGGATATTTGACAATCAGGGCAAGTGGAGACACATGGTTCCTTCAGGGATCCTGTGGGCCAAAGGTTTAATCATTTACTCAACCAGTGTCCGGTGTTTTCTTCACAAAGTTCTGGTTGGTTAATTAAGTAAAAATGAGGTCCTCATTTCTAAGCGAGGCAACTGTATATATCTACAAAGTCCTTCTAAAAATCAGATTTTTGTGGCATCTTTAAAGCTCTCGAAGATTCAGTTACACATAGGCAGCATATCTGCTCACCACTGAGATTTATTTTTTACATATGGCTCTCAGTGTTTGTGACTGACTCTGGGATTCCAGGCTTCCTCAGGGCATAGGAATTAAGATCAAAAGACAGGCTAGTGAGAAATTGTTAGGATGTGGTCAAAAAGTTAATTCCCTGTGTCTGCGCTTTGTAGATTAAACTATTATCAGAATATGTAATTAGAGCCTGCTACAAACAGGGTTTTAATCGATGATGGAAATAGGTGGGTAGGGGAAATGTGCAGGAATTATTCTTAGGACTTTCCGGCACTACCGGGGGAAAACCACTTAAAATCCAAATGATTTAACAGGCATAAAGTAAACTGTTTCCATTCCCAACAATGGTTTCAGGAAAGCAGCCGAACCTGTGGCCTGCCACGGCTGAATGTTTTCACCCATGGTGGCTCTGTGATGCCTAAGTCCCTGTGGAAGCCATTGGCAACCTATTTCACATTGGATCTGTCGCTGCCACACAGGGGCACTGGCCTAGGAATCTCCACAGGGTGTTAGTGACTAGGACAGGGGATGTGGTGGGGATCCATACTTTGGTGCAAGTCATTCTTTGCTGGCAGGAAGAACAGAGTTGAGCGGCCATCTTTGGAGATGAGTTAGTCTTGGTTGGAGGATTGGCCAGGCATGGTCCAACGTTTAAGGAAATCTCCATCCTTGGACTGGGGCAGGAGGCAGTAACATCTTGTGTGTAATTAACGAAGAATTATGGTCCTCTCATCGTAAGCAGCCCCTTTATTAAGAGAGGGGTTTAGCGAAGTCTAGTTGGATTTTTATTTCAAGGCTATTTCCCCAACATGTACAGGCACAGACCGTGGGGGTGGTTGTAGTCTTTGGATGCAAACAAGATCTGATTGTTTCCTCTGGGAGGTCATGTGGGTGAAGGAGTGGACTGAAGTTTGTCCCATTTTACCTTTCCTATGTGGATCTGCAACTGTGTTGAAAACCACACCACCACCTTGCTGAGAGCACCTAGGCAGCTCTATTCTTTTAAAATCATTCTGTCCATTGTCTGGGCTCCCACTGAGTTGACCCAGGATGACTGCAACCTGCTTAGCATCATCTTAAAGGGGTGGCTAGTTAGTGCCTGTTTTCTGGAACCTTCTGCCCTCCTATTATACCCTCAACCTTGTTGGGGTTTTGTTTGTTTTTTTTGTTTGTTTGTTTTTGTTCTTGTTTTTTAAGAGTTAGAAGTCAGGGGAAAGATGTAGGCATTTGGCTCAAATACTCCCAGGACTTCATGGAGTGCATTTCCCACTTACTATCTCCCTCAGTGGTGTCTAAACTCTGCCGGGGAAGCTGAGCTCCGGCCTCACCTTGCTCAGTGAAGAAAGAGTTTTTCCTCACTGTTAATAGTCTGCATGTCTGATTTCCTAGATCATAGAAAAGTGCAGCCATGGCATTGACTTTGTTGCTTTTGTCCAGCCATGAGAAACATTCTCATCTGCTTCCCAAATCCCTTAGTAGTGCTAACTCCCCAAATGGACTAATTCCTTCCTTCCTTCAAAAACACTATATTTTGATAGTAGAAAATGCAGAGGGGTGGGTGTGGTGCTCTGACAAAGGGGAGCAGTCAAAGCCTGATTTCTTCTTGCAAAGTGCGTAGTCCAGTTGAAAGGGACATGTAATCATTTGGGGAATCAAATCCGCTCTGACTCTTGGCTCCCTGGACCTTTTCATCATCTGGATGCCAGATAAAATACAGGTGTTCTGAGCTAGAGACCCAGCACCAGACTATCTTCCTCTTGGCTTGCCCTGCCTCTTAAATGCCTAAATGCCAGACAAGCCCGTTTTCAGCATTTGGGTCCAGCTATAATTCACGGAAGATATCATCCCAATCTGGATTGAATGATTTTCTTCCCAGCTATGCCTCTGAAATTGGCCTGTGTTCTCCATGGCCTTTGGCTGCTAGGTTTGTGATGGTCTCTGAGCTGCTTTTCCTTTAAGTCACACATGCGACCCTGTCGTGGTGGACGGTCACCATGGATGTCCCTCGTCAGACTCGGCAAGAGCCTCTCTCCTGCCCGGGATCTATCCCTCGCCCCGGGCCCTTCGAACACTCATCCTGAGCAGACCTCCACTGCCATTGCACTGAAATGACCTTTTTAACAAATCCTTGCCTTGAAATCAAACGGAGAGCATCTCTTGTTTTCGTGAACATCTCTGCATAGAATGTGAGTCAGATTTTTCCAGCAGGAAGAGGCTTTGGTTTTTTAACCACCAGAGACACAGACAGGCCACTGGAGTTTGTAACTACCTTGCAAGGAAGCTCGTGATTGAGGCTCCAATGTGAGGTCAGTACTGAAGACGCAGGTAGGAACGAGCACGCGCAAGCCTTTACTGTTAGATTGCAAACTCCCACACCCTTCCTCCGGCCCCCATCAAAATCCCCACTTTCCCCAACTGCAACTGGAGGGGGACTTTTATTTTATTTTACTTGAGAGCAGCGTGACTTGGGGGGAGTGATGGGGAGAGGGAGAGAGAATCTCAAGCAGATTCCCTGCTGAGCGTGGAGCCAGACCCGAGGCTCGATCTCACAACCTGGAGAAATCAAGAGTCGGTTGCTTAACTGAGTGAGCCGCCCAGGTGCCCCTGGAGGGGATCTTTTAAAAGGCAAGCTTGGCTGATGCTAAGGTCTAATCAGCCAGCCGGAAAGATCAGCTGTCTCAGCTTAAATTCCAACACTTTTAGAGCAGGTCTTCCTTGTCCAATTGAAAAAGCCCACCTTTACCAGTCGTTTTCCTTTACCTTAGATAGAAGCTATTCTGAAATTTTTGAGAATGGTCGTTGGGCCATTCCCCTACATGACTCTCTTTACCCGCTCCGAGGTCTCCTCCTCCCGATAGGAACTCATGGGCCACACCAACCGTAGGCTGTGCTTTGGGTTTCCCTCCAGGTCGGATGACAACGAACCGCCGCCTCCTACCCTTTCCCACTCCAAGCTTTGGTTCACTGCCGTGCCTTCATCTCTTTTGGGATATCCCAAAAGCAAGCGTTAAAGGGGGAGGGAGGCAGGAAGGCAGAGAAGGTGGCCAGACACCTGCTTTCTCTCTCTCGGGAGGCACATACCATTCCAGAATTTGCCTTCCACCTGGGTCTGGGCAGGCTCCACGCATGTCCCGTGTCGCAGCTGCAGTCCTTCCCGGCAGCTGCTGCACTGATGGTGGCCAAGGCCAGTGCAGGTCACACAGGCCGGGTGGCAGTGCTCACACTGTCCCAGCTCTGGGTCGCCATAGAAGCCAGGACCACATGTGCTCACACAAGAGCCATCTGCAGGGGCACACAGAAAGGGAGCATGAGGGTATGTCCCCAGCTGGCTTGGCGCACTGTGCGAGGCCAAGTTCTAAACAGGACGCGGGGAATCTCAGGAACATTCTTTGTTTGAATTTGTTTTTAAAGAAACCAAACTGGCATAATCTTCTTTCAACCAAGAAACGTGTCTTAAATCCAACATGTCAGTCCTCTTTTAACCAAGCATTTCAGTTTGCTCAAGGGGCGAAGGGGTGAAGAGCACAGAGTAAAGAACTTCAAATTCTCAGGGCCTTGAAAAAGTACAAATCAAACGAATCTCTGTATAGAAGCACTGGAGATCAGTGTGGGCTGATCCTGCAAACATTCAAGAGCACTGGGCTGTGAGTCCTTCCACTAGAAGACTCCTAGTATAGTTCCTTCCTAACCATCTAACCAAAACCAAAGACAAAGGATCTTGTTGATCTTTAACACTGCTTAGGAATATATAGCGTGGGTTGGGTTAATTCTCCAGGAAAGAGTCATGGTTCTGAATATTCCAGGTGATTCATTCTAAGGCATTTATCTTCAGTGTTCCCCCCACCCGCCCCCATCACTCTTGTTTCCATCAACTTGGAGATGTTGGAAATTAATGAGTGACATAGGAACTCTATTTCAGTAATAAAAGCAGAAGGAAGTAGTCCCAGCTAATGTTTATTTTCAAACCAAATTAAAATCCATCCTTGGACAAGAGGCACGGGAAGAGTCTGAAGCCAATCAAGCGAGTGCTCTTATTTCTGGGTGGGGCTCTGGAGCCTTGTTCTTCCTTTGCACCACGTGGTTCTCAGGCTTACCCAGGAGAAAGAAGCCGCCTTCACACCAGTAGCACTGGTGCTGGTCACAATCGCCACAGTTGGTCTCACACGCTTTGCATTCAGATTCTTCACTGTAGGTCTTCTGAGGACAGGTCTTGTAACAGTGGTGTTCAAACCTAAGGGGGGGGAAGGAGATGGAGTTTCTTCCACGAGCTATGTTGATGTATTTCTCTTCACCGCCATAATTTAATATCCTGACATCTGTCTACACATCATTTTTAACAGGTATAGATATTTAGGTTTCAAGGATAAAAGCTTGGTCTATGGGTGCTCACCAAACAAGTCATTAACCACTTCCCTCTGGACTCTGAGGACCCATCATCGGGGCAGCTGTGAAGAGGGTGGGGAGAAGGAAAGGGGTAGCCATATTTATTTATGGAGTACTGGTGATGTATTAAGTCCTCATTTCAACCTCCATGCAATTCTCCTCTGGTAGCTATGACTTGTCTTTAATTTCTAGATAAGGGAACTGAGTATTGAGGTAAAATGCTCAAAGTCCCATAGGTAGTTAAAGGCAGGCCTGGGATTTGAACAGATGGTTTGTGTGCTTCTGTCACATGGCAATGGGAAGGGGAGGTGATGTGGAGACCTCCGATCTCTGACTTGTAGAGTTGAATTGGAGAACCTTGGAAGGGATTGTTATCTGTGTTTCATTTAATCTAGTGGTCTGTGTCTCTTCTTACCCAGGGGATGATTCAGAACTCATAAAGTACCTGGCTTCATCCTGGATTTTCTGGCTCCTGTTAAGGACAAGGTCTCCACACAGACATTTGGGAATAGCTTGCCTGCGGGCAGGTCTATCGTTAAGGTTTGTCCATGAACGGCAAGGTCTAAATCCTGGTAACCCATGGCAAGATTCCTAGACACCAGTGTCAGGTTGGGTGACTTCCAGGACCAAGAATAAGAGGGCCTCCTTTGGAGGCAAGAAAACAGCTGGGCTCTTATTGCTAAATCCAAGAATTGTTCTTTAATAGCCTGACAGGGCAGAGTCACTTCAGCCTTCCCGGCCTCTTTGCTTTAATCACTGGATTTAGGATTAAGTCAGTAATGCTTAAACTGCAGAAAAGTTAGTGCCATGAAAAAAAAAAAAAAAAGCCAAACTTACATGTAATACCCCGTAGTGCATGATGTACAGGTTCCTGGATTATCTGGAAGAAAATTATAATAATGAAACATAATAATTACCGAGAGTCCATCATTTGGAAAAATGGGCTCTGGAAAAGTCCTGGCTTGAGACAAATAATCTTTTTGGGATGATTCATGAAAGGTAGTCTCCAGAAATGATATTTGCACAGATTATACCATTTTTAATTAGTAGCACGATGTATGCTGTGGTTTAGCTTTATCAAAGCTGGTAAAAAAAAAAAAGAGTTCTCAGGAATGGCTGGCCCTGATTTTCAAGGAAGTAGAATCCCAAGCTCCTAGGTCTTCAAAACGCAGACTAAGAACCATCCACATTAAGCACCTCCTGGATCTATGAGGGAAAGGCATCAAGCATGTTCACACATGCATATTTGGAAGGGGTGGCGGGCTCTCCACTCTGAATGGCAGGTTTTCCATGAGCTACCCCCCATGTCTGCCAATGTGAGGGAGTGTCATCTGGGAGGCTCCTTTGAAATTGGGACAATTATTATTTTTTTCCAATACAGTATCTACTTTGTGTTGGGCACGTCACAAATCTCTTGAAGAAACTGTCCTGTTCTCATTAAGTATAATGATTCAATATGTCCCTGTTGGCTCAGAGAAGGACTCTTTCCTACAGCTTTCAGGGGACTTAATGAGAGGGCAAGAGCTTTGAGAATCACTAGTTCAGTCTATTTCCCTTCCTCATAACCCTCTTTGAAGGATGCCAATTCCAGATGCAATTATTAAGGGAATTCTATGATTTCCACTGGCCCGGGATTTCCGTGACTCACAGAGTGACCTCCAGCAAAGTTTCTATGATACTCCAGTTCTGTTCTTTTCATTCTGATAAGATATGGAAAAAAAAATTGCTCCTCTTTAGAATGTTCCTCGTGGTACATGAAGATTGTATGTGACCTTTAACTATTTAAACAAAATTTTGCCCTTTGAACTTTGTGCACAGCTTTCCTTTCTAATCTACTCTAGGCTCTATTTTGGTTTTCGCAAAATCTGCCCCTTGCTCAAATCTTTAGCCAAATGCTCATCCTGGGTTCCCCTAGGGATGTTGCAAGACAACAGGACTGTGTATTACACATTATATGGCTGATGCATTACACCAAAAACTATTGTGGAAAAATTTCTATAAGAGGTTCTGCCATTTAACCAGAGATTGACAGAACCTTCTGGAAATAGCCTAGTGAAGATGCAGTGGAGAAGGTACTGGCCTGGGAACCGGGCTATCTGTTTCTAGTTTGAAGTTATAACTCTGGCTTAACTGCCTTGCGAACTTGCATTAAATGTTGCGCTGCTTTCTGGATTCTGATTTCTGTAGGTATAAAATGGTCTGGTTGGAGAAGGTGGTTGCTAAGACTCTTCAAAAGGTAAAAATTCTGCAATTGAGTCTAGCAGGGGTTGGCAATGTAAGGCTGACTCTTGGGCCAGATTCAGCCGTGCCCCTTCCATAGGAAGGATGGAACAAGACTCAAGACAGCCAAGGACGTAGCCAGACCCTTCTGCAGGAGGCCATGATATGCTCACAGTAGGGAAATGGTTTTTGTCTGTTGTATGGTGACATGGTTTGTTACAGGGCGACCAGACCAGAGCAGGACAGTGAAATGAACCATAAAGCAGGCTAATTACATGATAGAAGGAATCTGAAGCGAGAGGTGCCTTGAGAAGCAAAAGCTCACAGAAATTCTTAGAATTTTTGCAGGTAGGGAGGGGTCTTTATGCTTCCGCCATCCATTTTAAGAGGGGTGCAAGGGCCCCGGAGAACATGAGGGGTCCCACTGGGTAAGTATTTCCCATTACACGTCTATGTTTGCATCTGTATTCTTTCGGGTCTGTTCCTAAATAAGCTGCTACTACTCAGCTCACCGTTGGGCATCTTACTTTTCCCTGCCCGTCCCCAATGAACATATTTGACTCTGACAGTTTTGCTTACTTGGCAAGGGCTGGGGAAATTCTAATCCTGTTCTCTAATGTTCTGGCCATCCCTCCCATCTAGGAATTTAATGAGTTTGCTCTCTGCTCCTTTAAGCAGGTCACTGACGAAAATGCTAAACAGAACCAAGCCTCAGAAATGTGCATACCAATGTAATCTTGAGTCCAGGGACCTTTCCAGCCCAGATGCACAGTGAATTTGGTACCTTTACAATAGTTTGCATAAATGAATAATGCATAGAACAGGAAGTATGTCTTTTAACAGCTTATGAATGCCCATTAGTCTTTCTCATTATTACCAGTTATTCTGAAGAATAAGAATTATTTTAAAAATTTTTCCACCCCAGAAGATCCACAAGTCAGACATAAGCTAAATGGATTTAGCTTGACCACTGAGAGGCAGCTGTTATGGGATTAAGGAAAGGTAACAATCCCAAACCTAGAAGTTGAGTCTAAGTCAAGTTGGCATTTGAATGGTAGGGTAGGAAAGGAGGGTTGGCTTAAGGAGAAAGATGAATTCTGCTGGCTCTTCCAATGTGTGTGTGAGTGAGTGTGTGTGTGTGTGTGTGTGTGTGTGTGTGTGTATGTATGTGTGTGTGTTTGGGGGTTAGGGGTAGAAGAGTCCAAACAAGCTAGAATTGTGGACTGTCTCAGAAGGTGGTTTCCAAAGTAGGAGGTTTGAATAGCTCTGGTTACTTGGTGTTGTCAAACCTTTGAGCTGAGAGAACATAGTTTGAGGGGACATGGGGCAAGTTCGGTCAGAATTCAGAGAGAGCCTCACACATTTGGAAAAAAAAAAAAAAAGCCTTTGGAAACAGTTCCTGGCTTCCACCTGTTCACATCCCCACTAAGGAGAATGTATGAGCAGATGCCTCATCAAAATGGGGGTACAGCCTGCCTTTCTTGAGAAAACTCATGTCTATTGTCTCCTTTCTATGGGGTGGGGTGGGCAGGACTATGGTGCCCCCTCTTTCTGGAGAGGTCTTCGTGATCCTCTGTGTCACTTTCCCATGGTTTCCTTAGTTTTATCAGTGCTGGGGAAACTCCCTCTTCTCATGTAGGTGTTGACTGCTGCCTTCAACTTCACCTTCAGTGGTCAACGTACATCCTCTGCCGTGTTACTGTGTTCTTAGTAATACCTGTAGCCTTCAGCATTGCATATGGATGGGTCAGGGCCACATCAGGAGTTATGGCCATCTAACTTACAAAATGCATCGGGAAAGGGATATTTTAAACTTGAAATGGAATCAAATTTTCAAAATGTGCAGAGAAAAAGAATTTGTTGTTTATGGTTTACATAAACTTGGAGTCCCACAATTAAAGATACGTATGAGCTAAAATGACTGTAATTTGCCTTTTCTAAAATCTTACTGTACGTTTCTTTTTCATTTAAAGGAGACAAAAGACTTGGTTTTTTAAACAATAGCCTTTATCATATAATATCTAGATAGGCCAGAATTAGCCAGGGATCAGCTATATTGTTGAGGCAGAATCGCCTCTTTGCAAAACCAGGGGGAAAAGTTAATGTCAGGGTGGTATGTCTTTCAAGATTCATTTTCAAGGGACAACTGGGTGGCTCCGTCGTTAAGCGTCTGCCTTCGGCTCAGGTCATGATCCCAGGGTCCTGGGATCGAGCCCCGCATCGGGCTCCCTGCTCGGCGGGAAGCCTGCTTCTCCCTCTCCCACTCCCCCTGCTTGTGTTCCCTCTCTCGCTGTGTCTCTGTCTGTCAAATAAATAGATAAAATCTTTAAAAAAAAGATTCATTTTCAGGCTTCTAGAACTTTCATCCACACCCCTGGCCTCCCTCTACCACTGCCTATTGAAACTGATCTGTTCCATAGTCCTTTACTGCACAGATCTACTAGTTACTGCCTAGGATGCTAGACTAATAGGCAGGTTAAACTTATGTTTAAAAGTTATGTTAAAACCTAGAAGCCTAGGTTTTCCCCTACCTCAGTCCTTCCTCAGGTGTCCTAGACTCATTAGGCTCCCTTTGCTTTGACCTCTTAGATCACATCTGTAAGTGTTCCATAAAGCGGCACCTGCCTTATTGTAATTCATCACGCCCTGGATGCTGGCTTCTCCCACAGCTTCAACCTTTTGGCTCAATTACCTTCCCAGTTCCAATCACCTGTATTCTAGGTTTGACCAAACTTGGGGCAATGTTTGCCTTCCCGGTGCTTCCCACACTTAGGCAGAGTATTGGACCAAACTGATGCTTCGCCCCTTCTTCATAGGTTTCTAGCCCCAAATACTCTATAAGCTCCCTAATTACAGAATCTAAAGTAGTAATATCCATACTGTTTTGATTGATCACCCCATTGGTTTAAAAATTTAGCATATGCCTGCAATGCATATATATGTGTGTGAATTATTTATGTGTGCTAGTGCATGAATGTTTTACATTTTTAAAAATATATAGTAGAAAGATAAAGTAGAAAATTTAATAACAAAATGATTGCAAATACAAGTTCTATCTTTTTCTGCGGGCCAGTGGGTTGTCTTGCATACTTCTCTTTGAGGAGATGAGGGACTTGGGCCATATCTAACAGAATGCCAACTCTGAGGTTATAAATTCATATACTCGCTTTCCAAAAATATGTTTTATATTCGATTGCTTAAAGTTGTAACTGGAAGGACTGGTTCTCTGATGGGCTCACACATCTGTATGTATATAAGGACTTCCTATACCTGGCTTCTAGCCTTTCCATATTTATAGACAAACTCTATGATTCTAATTAACTTGTTCACCTAGCATTTTGGGGGTTGGGAAATAAGTTGCAAATATAGATATAAATGAACACGTTGGAATGTTATAACTAAGATTCCATTTTTCTCATCCTTCTATGACCCTCTATAGCTTTAGTATGTTAATGTGTTCCCCAGAGAAAACTTTCTAGATTGAAATAACCAGTGTTTATGTCCCTATGAAAGACAATGTGAAAGTTCATCCGCTGAGAAGAGGTTAAAAAAGTATGGTACAAACTGAGGGTTCTAGAGGGTAGGGGGGTGGGGGGATGGGTTAGCCTGGTGATGGGTATTGAGGAGGGCACGTTTTGCATGGTGCACTGGGTGTTATGA